GATGGTGTTTCCTGCTTGGCAGGGGGTTGGACTCGATGGCCCTTGTGGTCTATTCCAACTCTATGATTCTATGAAGCAAGGAGAGCTTCATAAGAAGATATGTTTCTGTCTTTCCCTCAAAATGTGCAGGGAGAATCTACCTCACTAAACAACCTTTTCCACAGCTTGTCTGCTCTTGATGTTGATCATTCTGCTTAAATGTTCAAATCCATAGCTACTTAATACTGAGCTATTACTTTTAAATGGATAACTGTAAATATTTGAAAACAGAAAAACATACACATTTTCTTTTCTCTAGGTTAAACCCTGGTTCCTGCTACAAACTTTCATTGAACTCTATCACAGCTTCCCCTCTCCATATTTTTGTCAACAGCTGAATAGGTAGTTAGAAAGATAAACTTAATTCAATGACATAGGTGCAACATTAGCTAGATGAGTTTTTCTGTATGATAAGCTCTTCCACAGAGGGAGTATGGTGGAGCAGGGCAATATTCAGTGAGACCATCAGCAAATTTATCACATACAATTTCAAGAGACGAGTGAATGCTGAAACATACAGGTTTGGTTTTTTTTAATTTGTAAGTCAATGCATATCTTCTTAGCACCCTGATCAATGTTGGACAGCTCCTAGTTCCTCTGCTTCTACAATTTGGACAGCTCAATCTGACCAATACGCCAGAATTTAAAGAAACTAGTCAAACAGAACTGTGCCTCTGCTTAGGAAAGAGATGCTTTCAGTAGCTGCAAGAGACAGTGTTACTCTGTGCGCCTCAGGATCAGACTTGGAGGTGTACGGCAGTGGCGTAGCGTGGGGGGTGCAGGGGGGGCCAGCCGCACCGGGCGCAACATCTGGGGTTAGGGCAAATCCACGGGTTAGGGGGCGCAAATCCACGGGTTAGGGGGCGCAAATCCACGGGTTAGGGGGCGCAAATTTCTTGCCTTGCCCCGGGTGCTGACAACCCACGCTACGCCACTGGTGTACGGGGGGTCGGGTCCCCCCACCTCAAATTCTCCAGCAAACCATATTTGGCGTTGATATAACTCAAAGTACAAGCTTAAGCCCACATCTGAATCATGAAATCATTGAGTTGGAAGGGACCCAAGGGTCATCTACTCCAACCCCTTGCAATGCAGGAATCATCTGAAACTATTTGAGGCTGCCAACACATTATAGGGGAACACTGGAATACAGTGGTACCCCGCAAGATGAACGCCTCGGAAGACGAAAAACTCGCTAGACGAAGGAGTTTTTCGTTTTCTTAGCCGCTTCGCAAGACGCATTTCCCTATGGGCTTGCTTCGCAAAACGAAGCTTGCCCCGCAAGCTCCGGGGATAGCGGGGAAGCGCAGCGCGCCTTCCCATCTGTCCCCGGAGATTACGGGGCAGGCAACGGGGAGAAGCAATCTTCTCCCCGCCACCCCTTGCTTTAAAACAGGTCCGGGGACAGAGGGGAAGGCGTGCGGCGCTTCCCTTCTGTCCCCGGACGGTCTCCATAGGAACGCATTGATTGATTTCAATGCATTCCTATGGGAAACCGTGCTTCGCAAGACGAAAAACTCGCAAGAAGAAAAAACTTGCGGAACGAATTAATTTCGTCTTGCGAGGCACCACTGTACAAGAAACTGATAACCTTAGGTAAAACAACGAAATACCAGTTTTAATATGATGACAGAACAAAAAAATGGACAAAGAAACAAGGTGGATGGGAGGCCTTTGTAATTTTCAACATTCCACTTCTACTGATAACCAGATTTCACCACAGCAGCTTTTGGTAACTCTTGAGAGTAAGAAGAAGATACTGTTAAGCCATACACTAGAAGAAATAATGCTTCCTATGCAGACAGAAATTCAAGGGCAGAAAGAAGGATAAATGTGACATCCCTTACTTCCCAAACTAAGTTAACTGATGCTAACTATTTTATCCTGGAAAGGAAACCTCCCTGATTATGGTATCACAACAGCTCATCCAACTACTAGGGCGGATGCCACACAGAGTGGGAATCAAAAGAATAGGAAATAAAGGCCTGCCCAACCTTTATAGAGACTTTAGTAACTTTTGATCAAAATAAGGAGACAGCACAGACTTGAAACCAGAGAGAAATGACAAAGATGTGGAGAGATATTGTCGCAGTATTGTTAGTATATACAAATTAGGCCTCTGTAAGATACAAGTGGGACGCGGGTGGCGCTGTGGGTAAGAGCCTCAGCGCCTAGGGCTTGCCGATCGAAAGGTTGGCAGTTCGAATCCCCGCGGCGAGGTGCGCTCCCGTTGCTCGGTCCCAGCGCCTGCCAACATAGCAGTTCGAAAGCACCCCCGGGTGCAAGTAGATAAATAGGGACCGCTTACTAGCGGGAAGGTAAACGGCGTTTCCGTGTGCTGCACTGGCTCGCCAGATGCAGCTTTGTCACGCTGGCCATGTGACCCGGAAGTGTCTCCGGACAGCGCTGGCCCCCGGCCTCTTGAGTGAGATGGGCGCACAACCCCAGAGTCTGTCAAGACTGGCCCGTATGGGCAGGGGTACCTTTACCTTTAAGATACAAGTAATGTACTTCGAAAAATGACAAGGCCTACTAGAGGATTGGAATAGATGACCCGTGAGCTCCTTTCCAACTCTACAATTCTATGATTCTATAATAGTCTGGATGAGGGAGCCATTTCAATAGTTAAGAAGTTCTGAGGAAGTATGATTAAAAATACCTGCCCACCATATCAGATTGCTCTACAGAAGCTGAAGAAAAACTGTGTCATTCTCAGCACTGCTTGGTGGGGCACAAGAGGCCATTGGGTGTAGACTAGACCCACATTTTAACTACTAAAATTATACTGTAGAACAGGAAGGTAATTCTCACGCTTTGAAGGCCAACATAACAAGGATATTGTTCCGTTTAATTCAAAATAGAATTTGGGGAACTTTCATTTGTAATAACATGCACTTGTCACTAGGTAAGACTATATTGGAAATGGAATATATTTGGAGAAATGTGGCAAATCTAACCTGGAACACAAAGTGCAGGAATATGAAACAGCTAGAGTCTTGATCATAGCAGTGTCTGCAATGCAACAGCAGGATCACTAGCAGGAATATGTATCTTGCAATGGCAATTTCCTTTGAGGAAATTTCCCCCTTTGGGAATGCTCCTAACATCGGGAAGCTTAAAAAGCATGTTCAAAATTACTGGAAGTAATTTATAATCACCCTTTTCCAGTTTACCTAGTGCTCCCCTAAATAAATCAGAAGGCAATCACAACTTCTTGACCCCAAGAGGAAAAGTGTGATTCAAATGAACTGTTATTTTGTACACAGTTTTTGTGTTTGTGCAACAGGGACATACAAATTAAAACCTCGTCTATGTTTACGTTTGATCTATTGCAGTGAGCATGATGAAATTATGACACTACAGTCAAATAAAGTTTGGCTACATGCTGAAGTCACCAAGAGCAGACAAAGCCAAGAAAGAATGAAGGCAGTGCCTACTGGACTAGTCATACAGGTGAGCCCTGCTAATGGGAAGCATGTTGCAGGCAAAAGGAGATGCAATGCTCATAACTCATGACTGGGGGCGGCCGCAGAGACCACATAACACCGGTCTTGAAAGACCTACATTGGCTCCCAGTACATTTCTGAGCACAATTCGAAGTGTTGGTGTTGACCTTTAAAGCCCTAAACAGCCTTGGCCCAGTATACCTGAAGGAGCGTCTCCACCCCCACCGTTCTGCCCGGATGCTGAGGTCCAGCGCCGAGGGCCTTCTGGCGGTTCCCTCATTGCGAAAAGCAAAGCTACAGGGAACCAGGCAGAGGGCCTTCTCGGTAGTGGCGCCCGCCCTGTGGAACACCCTCCCACCAGATGTCAAAGAGAAAAACAACTACCTGACATTCAGAAGACATCTTAAGGCGGCCCTGTTCAGGGAAGTTTTTAATGGGTGACATTTTAGTGTATTTTTGGTCTCTAAGGAAGCCGCCCAGAGTGGCTGGGGAAACCCAGCCAGATGGGCGGGGTACAAATAATAAAATTATTATTATTATTACTGATAAGAGGGGCAGCCACTGCACTGAGATAAAAGCTGACATGTGGGCAAATGAGGGGCAAGGACTTCATGGTAGGAGCACTCTCCTCACTGGTTCTTCATCTCTTGGTGTACTTGGAGGAAGGGGAACCTGCTCCTGAAGTCGCTCTGAAGTACGGTTGGCTAACCTGTGACCCTTCAGGTGTTATTTGATTCCAATTCCCGCAAGTCCCAGCCAGTATGGCCAAAGGTCAGGGATGATGGGAACTGCAGTACAACAGCAGCTGGAGAGCCATACATTAGGCAATCCTGCCCTAAAGCTAAGGAAACCTCAGGCACTTGGCCAAAAACAAGAGGCAACGATTCCGCTGCAGCAGAATCATCCACTCTTCATAAACGGACACTCCTGTTCGCCTTTATTGCAACCCTGTCAAGCAGGGAGGGGAGCAGATTTTGCCACGACACTTTGTACCCAAAAGCACGGGGAATTGCTTCTCAACCAACCCACCACCAATTTTCAGGATCAAAAATCCAGGATGAACTACCACCTCAGCACAATTTTTTCTGAATGCCCCCCCAGATATAAACATGCCACAAAACTAGTCCCAGACTCAGGGCTGCTGTGATGATCCATGATGGCTGTATTTATCTATACCATGCAAAGAACTCGCTTTTTTATCTCAAGGAACTGCTTCAAATGCCATTTATTTTAAATGGAAAGCACTTCTGTGTAAAAGAACAGCAGTTCAAACTGCATATGCATATAGCCACCTAATACCACTTTATATGCAGGTTTTATGCTGTTTTGCCATGTAGGTTGTTCATAATGTGTAAAGCGTCCTCAAGAGCACCAATGCACCTCTGTTGTTTTGTGCATTATTCCTGCAAGCAGATGTAGGGAAGCTCTTCAATTATTTTTGGCAACTCTCCAGTACCAAAGGCAATTCCACCACTGTGAATGCTATCGTACATTTAGGCGGAAGTTAACTCTTACCTCCATGGCTAGAGCTGCTGTTTGCTGATCATAATGGTTCAAAAGGTTAGGCATAAAAGTGGTGTTGTAAGGAAGATCCTGGCACATCCTCAAGATGATGGGCTCACATGAGAACTGGCTGTGACCACCTGTGCATCCTATCAGAACAGCCAAAAGCCACAGACAACGGAAGACCCAGCTTGCAGCCATCTTTCTGCAGCAATCATGAGATTCTCCAGATTATTTAGTAGACTTTGCTGGGTACATGTGAACCACTGTCAGGTTCTTCAGAGACCGAAAGATTCTTTGATTCATCCGCATTTCAGGTCTTCATTTTAAGATTCTTCAGAGAAAGGCTGTTTGTTTGCATTGATGCAACTTAGCTGAGTCCCACAGAAGGCTTTCATTCCCAAAGCACTAATAAGGTACTTCATCTTGGCCTTTTGTTTCATATTGCCATGCAAGTTGCATTAGGTCATCAAAGCTGGCTGTCTAACCGCACTCCCAAACAGACCCCATGTTGACAGGCTCTCTTCTTTCATTAAGTGCTCTAAAGACAAAATAATAAAAGTGTTAAAACTGTATTGCTAACAATTCAAAGAAAGCTATTAGTTATGACTCATGGGCTCTCATATAACTTTGGGAGAAAAGTGCAAAGCACAAATGAAAAATGATAGCAAGAGACTACCACAGCCTGATCAACCAGCACTTGGCTTCTCCTCTCCAAAGCAGAAAGGCACTGTATAAATATAGTAAACAAATAATACAATCCAAAGGCAAACCCCACTGACAGAGAGTTTTCTACTGATCATGTGTGCAAGTATACCAGACATTTACCAGATGTTGCCAAGCTTTCAATCATTCCCAACATGTAGTCTGAAGCTGCAACTGCTCATCATGTCTCAAGATTTATGAGGCTTGATGTTTTTCGCTTTAGCTTTACTACTACCTCCATTTTTTCTAAATAGCTTATGATTTATGGATTACACTTAGGGTAAACTACTATACGGCTATTTCAGAGCACAATCTCTAGTTGATAGCTGCAGTCTATAGAAGGCAAAGGACTGATATCACCAGGGTCACAGACTGTGAAAACATTTCTTTATGATACAAATGGCAGCTGATTTAGGAGGAAATAGTATTTGATAGAATCATATACTGTACTGTAGCTATAAGGGACTTTGAAGTTCAGCCCTCTGCTCAATGCAGATCTGCAATGCAGGATGAATCTACAACATCCCCGACAGATAGCCACACAGCCTCTGCTTAAAGCCTTTTAGAAAAGGAAAGCCCATCACCTCCAGCTTTTACTACTGGGCAGTTTCTCCTAACGTTTAGCCAAAATCTACTTCCCTGCCGCTTCCACCCATGGGCTCCAGTTGTGCCTTCTGAAGCAAATGGGAACAAGTCTGCTTCTTTTTCGCATGGCTGCCCTTCAGATATATGAAGACAGCTATAACGCCTCCCCTTAACCTCTTCTTCTCCAGCTAAACAAAGCCAGCTCTTTCAACCAATACCTCGTGGGACTTGGGTTTCCAAGCCCCTCACCTCCCTAGTCACTTTTCTCTGAATATGCTTCAAGGGCTTTCAAGACTTGATTATTTTGGCAAAGTTTGGCTATTTTGGACAACACAAACAATTCATCACTGTCAAAGATTTTAAAAACCTATATTAAAAGTAGTTTGCCAATAAGGAAAAGAACACAGGAGGCAGTGGCAATACGGAGGCAATCCAAGAAATATTTGGATTGAGTCTAACCACACAGATATCTTAACTACAATTAATAAATGCTGGTGATCCATGGGTACCCCCCAATTTTAGTTTCCTTGGGTGCTAACTCGGGTTCTTCTCACCTGACTTTTGTACTGTTTTTAAACACAATATAGCAACCATGAACAAACCATCTTATGCAAATAAAGATTTACCATGCCAAAATCTTAATCATCCTCTATATACTAACCTAGATCATTTATGGCACTTAAATCATAACAAGAGAACAAGCTAACTAGTTACTATACACTTGCATTTTCAACCAATTGAATGCAAGCCTGCCACTTTCCTAAACTTACAAAAAGAATTATTGCAAGTGTAAACAGAGGTGACTAACAAAAATGAAGAAATAACAATCACGATAAATTTCTAGAATTTTTGAAGAGAATTTATTTACCTCCCAGAAAGATGTGCTCACTCAACACAATCCTTAACTGCTGCAGGATTTTAGCAGCTCAATGGCAAAGTGCTGTCTGCAGTAATTATTCCAACGGCTGTTTCGGTACAAAAGAAAACAATCCCTCTGAATCTATTCCAATGATTATAGTCAGATTTCTAATTTTTAAACCATCCTACCCTGAAGATTCATACTGTCCCCACCCCCATCCTTCTGATCCTCACTATGTCCAGGAAGGGGTAACACAACAACTGCAGACTTTAATCTATCCTTTGGGCCCTTGTCTTAATTCTAAAGAGGAAAGAAAAGCATGGCACATGGAAGCAAGGAGAGGATAATCTTTTGCAAGGAATGGAGATGGTAGGCATTTTTTCACCCCAACTGCACCAACAAGGGAAAAAGCAATCCACACTAAACTGTCATTGCTGCAAGGGAGTAGGCTTTTCTTACCTCTCCAGGGAAATATGCGTCCCGTATACTGGGAGGAGATTCACTCCCTATACTGCCATGTATTGAAGTGGAGAGGTTCTCCATCATCCCTCCCCCATCAACACAACGCTCCTACAAATTATAAGAAACACAAAAGGTTTGACCACACTGCATTCAGTGCCCATTCCTGCAAGGAGAGCTCCAGTCACTTTACACAGCTCTGGATATTTAGTACTTCAGTTTACTTAAGAGAGAAACATTTTGCCTCCATTGTTGCAGGGGAGGTGGTGAAGCTCAGAGAGAACACATTAACAAAACTCCTTTGCTTCTGTGACCTTCCTAGGGAGCAGTGAGGATGCAGGGGAGACGGAGCTGCTATCAGCAAAATTGGGACACCTTTTAAGGAGTCTTAAAAATATAAAAACTGCCCTGTTGGATCAGACTATCCTAGCCTTTCTCAACTCAGTGCCCTCCTTTACTTACAGGATAGCATTGCCCCATTGGTGCCCATCTGACCACTTTACTCCTTGGAACTTTCACAAAAGCTACGTAATGTCGGTTCTGCATTTGTGAGCTCAACTTCTAGTATGGAAGTACCTTTGGAACTCCCCAGTGGCGTAGCGTGGGGGGTGCAGGGGGGGCCGGCCGCACCGGGCGCAACATCTGGGGTTAGGGCAAATCCATGGGTTAGGGGGCGCAAATCCACAGGTTAGGGGGCGCAAATTACTTGCCTTGCCCCGGGTGCTGACAACCCACGCTACGCCGCTGGAACTCCCTGCCTATTGACACTTGACAGGCACCCTAACTATTGTTTTAGACACTTTCTGAACACTTACCTCAGCAAAGTAAATATCCTTTAGTTACCTATATATGTTTTACATTTTTGGCTGACATTTTCTGTGCCTTAATGATAGCTATTTTACAAATATCTGTTCAATAGTATTGCAGATTTTAGCCGTGTTTTACTACAATTTTATTATGTACACAGCTCTTTGATTAAGCAACTTTATGCGTCTTTCTAAATATACTAATGAATGCTTTAGAGACTATAACTTCCGCCAGCCTCAGACATAATAGGTGTTGCAATCCAACATATCTGGAGGGTGCATGGTTGGCGTAAAGGCTAGGTTTCTGCCTAGACCAGCATTCAGTTTGCAGCAGTAATCAGCTCAAAGGGAAGCCCAGGATGCAATGAAGGCAGTACAGGCTCTCGTCCGCTGCCACCACCACAGCGTCCCCTTAGCATTCATTCTTGTTTCCCCCCTCATACATGAAGGTGGTTTAAAACCCCTACTTCTCAACAGGATCCTTTAATTGCCAACACTTTCTCCAAAGTAACACCTCCCTTGAAGCCTGGGAACCTCCCCGGCTTACCCCACAAAACACAACGCCATGGCTATGAAAGCAAGCCCCTCATAAACTAGTGTTTCAGTGCCTGTACATGTGTTGGGGGGGGGGTTGGTCAGAAAATAAGGAGGAAATTATCAAAACACCTCTCTTCTCTCTCTCTGGCTGATGAGGAAGCAGCAGAGCAAGCTAAAGCACATTAATTACTAATAACGAGGGCCTGAGTCTTCATCAGTCATCACAACCTTTTTGTTTTGTTTCAACCTTATTATGCTCATTAGCCTATATTAACTTACGGCTAACCTGCCTCGCAGGCCTTCAATCAGACAGAAGAAGAAAAGGGGGGGGGTGAAGCAGGATATAAATAATGTTTAATTATAACATAATTATCAGCTGCAGTTTCAGGAGGCCACCTACCCGGCCCCAGCCTATGCAATGCAGGGGGAAGAGGGCACAATGCAAAAGAGGAGGAGGAGGAGGAGAACCTCCCCTCCCTAATCCTTCTTTGGGTCAGGAGGGGGGGGGTCTCCCTCCAACCCCCTTCCCCCTCCTAAAAAGACATGGCCTGAAAAACACCCACCCAGTTTCTCTGTTTTAACCCTTTCCAACCCTCAAAGCCCACCCACCCTTTGACCTGGACACAATACCAGGAGGGAGGGAGGGGTGCCAACTTGAATAAAATATTGCAGGGGGGGGAGAGCAGGTAAGCACAGCCCCCCATAACTGATCACATATGTTATGCTGTAAGTAAAATTTCCAGTAAAAAGAGTAAAATATAATTGATCACGTGACATGACACACACACGCACAATGTGAATGGCACTGCCCCTCAACTTTGCAGGGGGAGGGGCAGACCCCTCAAATATTTTATGGGCGGGGGAGGCCGAAGAGACCTTGGCCCCTGGGAGTCGGTTCCCATGGAGGGAATCCCACCCACCCCCCATTAAAAAAACAAACCTCGTCGCCCCCACGCGCGGGAGCGTTTGAGAAAAAATAAGAAAAAAGGAGGACTGGGGGGGGGCGCTCCTATGAGGAAATCCTGCCATGAAACACCCCCCCCCTTTCATTGTCTTTTAATGCGGGTGGGAGGTGAAGGGGTCGCGCATGCGCGCGCAGGTGTGAGGAAGCCAATTCTCTCGTGGGGGGGGGAGGTCGGTCCCTGACAGGAATTTTAAACCCCCCCCCAGAAAAGAAGTGTGAGGCGCGCCCCTCCCCCCCCCTTCACTGAGGTGATTTGAGCCTCTTTTATTTCTCTGTGGCGAAGGCGGGGGGGGACGGTTATTAGCTGTAACCCCGGCCCTTTTTTTTGCCCCCCCCCCCGTTACCTGAGCGCGTCCCTCAGGCGGCGCTGGCCGGCCCTTCCTCGGCGCGGCGGCTGAAGGGGCCCGAATGAAGGAGCCTCCTCCGCCTCCGAGGCCGCCGCCGCCGCCGCCTTCCGCCCCGCCCCCTCGCGGGGAGGGCGGGGCGCCGAGAAAAAAATCCAGCCAATTGCGTCCCAGCCTCCGACGCCGCCCCCGCCCGGTTGCTAGGTAGAAGGTGAACGCCAGAGCGGGAGGGCGGCTTCCGATTGGCCGTCGCCGCCGAGGCAGCCAGGCAACGGTTTCCATGGCGAACGGGACCGACTCGCAGGAGGCGGCGGCGGCCTTGTCAACTCGCGTCGCCTCAGGTGGGAAGAAGCAGCAAGCGGGCAGACACGTGTCGAGCTCGCCGGCTGCGGGGGGGGGGGCAAGGTGGGCGGAGAGGAGCGGCGAGAGTTCAGGTGAGGGGCCTGCGCGGCGCACGCGGGTCGGGGGGGGGAGGGAGGCACGTGTGAATGCGTTTGCGCGTGTCGCTGCGGCCCTTGAGGCCCGGCAAGGAAGGGCAGGCAGGGAGGTGCCTTCGTTGGCTGCGAGGAGCTTCGGGGTGGCTGCTGGGCAAGGTAAAGCGACTAGCAGACGCCATTGGTGATAATAATAATAGTAATAATAATAATAATTTTAATTCAGCGCCCAGGCTTTTCGAGGCCCTTGTCAAGCTGGCTTGAAGAAGCAGCTCTGGGGGACTTGGAAATGCGCATGCCGTTTCATTTTTGGCATTTCACTCAGAAATGGAAAGGAAATTTTGAATTTATTTATTGCATTCAAATGCTGCCTTTCTCCCTCTATGGCCTAGCTATCCCTCTCTCTCTGTGTGTGTGTATGTGTGTGTGATTTTGTGTGTGTTTGTATATATATGTATATGAATATGAATATGACACACCTGCGACTTTCCTAGAATGAAGTAAAGGTAAAGGGACCCCTGACCATTGGGTCCAGTCGTGGCCGATTCTGGGGTTGCGGCGCTCATCTCGCTTTATTGGCCGAGGGAGCTGGCGTTCAGCTTCTGGGTCATGTGGCCAGCAGGACTAAGCCGCTTCTGGTGAACCAGAGCAGCGCACGGAAACGCCGTCGTTTACCTTCCCGCCGGAGTGGTACCTATTTATCTACTTGCACTTTGACGTTCTTTCAAACTGCTAGGTTGGCAGGAGCAGGGACCGAGAAACGGGAGCTCACCCCGTCGCGGGGATTCGAACCACCAACCTTCTGATTGGCAAGCCCGAGGCTCTGTGGTTTAACCCACAGCGCCACCCGCGTCCCATTAGAATGAAGTACCACCTCCTAAAGTGGATTTAAAAAAGAACATTGCAGACCCACTGAAAATGCTCATGGATGACTAGTGGAAGAGGCTTCCATAACCTGCCGAGCAACTGCCAAGAGTTGGAGAAGCTCTTTAGGCACCCTTAGTGCCCAAACCTGGTGCCTGTAAAAGGTAAAAGGTAAAGGAACCCTGGATGGTTAAGTCCAGTAAAAGGCGACTATGGGGTTGCGGCACTCATTTCGCTTTCAGGCAACGGGAGATGGTGTTTGTCCACAGACAGTTTTCCAGGTCATGTGGCCAGCAGGACTAAACTGCTTCTGGCGCAATGGGACACCATGACGGAAACCAGAGCGCACAGAAATGCTGTTTACCTTCCTGCCACAGCGGTACCTACTTATCTACTTGCACTGGTGTGCTTTCAAACTGCTAGGTAGGCAGGAGCAGGGAAAGAGCAACGGGAGCTCACCCTGTGGGGATTCGAACCGCCAACTTTCTGATCAGCAAGCCCAAGAGGCTCAGTGGTTTAGACCACAGCGCCACCTGCATGCCTTACCTTTACCTTTTACCTGGTGCCTGTACAGGTGCTGCAGTCCAGACAGGTCCCTTGATTAATTTCCAGCCACTTAACATTTAGAATCCAGTAATTTAAAGTTTCCTCACCAACACCCCAACAGAAGGAATGTGGCCACCGAGCCAAGTGTGGGGGTTAAAAAAAGAATATTGCAGACAAATTCATGGGGGAAAGGGCTCTCGAAGGCTACTAACCAGGACGGCTGTGCAATGTTTCTGAATACCAGTTCCTGGAAACCACAGGAAGGAAGAGTTGTTCTTGTGCTCAAATCCTCCTTGCTGGTTTCCCACAAGCATCTGATTGGCTACTGTGAGAAGGGGATGCTGGATTGGGTGAGCCGTTGGCCTGATCCAGCACTTTCTGACAAGACAGATGTACTGTTTTTGAGGGACAGGAGGCTGGCGGGTGTGGGAGACTCCCTGGTCTAGAATGGGATAACTGGAAAGGACCAGGTGCGTAGCCTGGAAGTCATTTTGGACTCACAGCTGTCCATGGAGTCGCAGGTCAATTCTGTGTCCAGGGCAGTTGTCTACCAGCTTCACCTGGTATGCAGGATGAGACCCCACCTGCCTGCAGACTGTCTCACCAGAGTGGTGCATGCTCTAGTTATCTCCCACTTGGACTACTGCAGTGCGCTCTACGTGGGGCTACCTTTGAAGGTGGCCCAGAAACTACAACTAATCCAGAATGCGGCAGCTAGACTGGTGACTGGGAGCGGCCGCAGAGACCACATAACACCGGTCTTGAAAGACCTACATTGGCTCCCAGTATGTTTCCGAGCACAATTCAAAGTGTTGGTGCTGACATTTAAAGCCCTAAACGGCCTCGGTCCAGTATACCTGAAGGAGCATCTCCACCCCCATCGTTCTGCCCAGACACTGAGGTCCAGCGCCGAGGGCCTTCTGGCGGTTCTCTCGCTGCGAGAAGCCAAGTTACAGGGAACCGGACAGAGGGCCTTCTCGGTAGTGGCGCCTTCCCTGTGGAACGCCCTCCCACCAGATGTCAAAGAGAGCAACAACTACCAGACTTTTAGAAGACACCTGAAGGCAGCCCTGTTTCGGGAAGCTTTTAATGTTTGATGCATTACGGTATTTTAATATTTTGTTGGAAGTCGCCCAGAGTGGCTGGGGAAGCCCAGCCATATCGGCGGGGTATAAATAGTAATAAATTATTATTATTATTATTATTATTATTATTATTATTATTATTATTATTATTTCTCCTTACATTCTTACTGAATATACTCATAAATGTCTAGTGGAAGAGGCTTCCATAGGTTGCAGGGCAACTGCCAAGAGTAGCTTTATAGGTGACCTTAGTTTCAAGTCCTGGTGCACAGATGCTCTAGACATGTGTTTTGATTAATTTCCGTTGAGTTAACATTTCTGTAATCTGAGATACAGCATTTCCCCCTCCCTAGAGAAGGAAAATTCAACACCATGATCAAGTCAACATGTAGTAAGTAGATTGTGGTCTCTAGGCTAAGTGTGTGGGTGTGAATGAGTGAGTGAGATAAAAAAGCTTTACCAAACAATACCTAATTGAATTTATATTCCTAGTAATGTTGACACAAGGCATTCACAAAACAGGCCTGCTTTTGTTGACGGCCCTTGGTTTAGCATTTTTGCAGGGTTAAACCGGGATTAACACAATCCAGGAAATCAGTCTAATGCCCTTAGCTAATATGATATGAGCATTACAGTGCATTAATCTTTCTTAAACATTATCAAATTATGGCTTTTGAGTTAACAGCTGGCCTGTTCTTCTGCCTTTCCTTTCACAGGATTTGTTAGGAATTGGGACATACTATGAATCTAAGTCTTTTGCCATAGGCAAGCTTATGCCTCTGAAAAAATGTTGAGGAAACCCTGGCACCCCGCACCCTCTTATCAAGCAATAGTATAGCTTACCCATTGGGTGGTGGGTGAAGCCAAAAGATCCCACAACAAATGATGCAGGGTGCCACCCTATTGTGGGCATTCTGACACCACACTGTGATTTAGTCATGGTCTATGGCATGAACCAGGATGCGGGTGGCGTTGTGGGTTAAAGCACAGAGCCAGAAGTGGCTTAGTCATGCTGGCCACATGACCCGGAAGCTGTGCGCCGGCTCCCTCGGCCAATAAAGTGAGATGAGCGCTGCAACCCCAGAGTCGGTCACGACTAGACCTAATGGTCAGGGGTCCCTTTACCTTTACCTTTTTATGGCATGAACCACATTTGTTGCCCGAGTTGAATACCATAATCACATCCTTTGAGACCAGCAAGCCCAACTGTGTCATACTGTACCTCGCAATTTTGAATAGTCATAGCCCGGCCTTCCTCAATCTAGTGCCCTCCAGATACTTTGGACTACGTCTCCCATCAGTCCAAGCTAGCATGATGCTGCTGATTGGAGCATGGCTATGCTCTGCTGGGGGACGCGGGTGGCGCTGTGGGTAAAAGCCTCAGTGCCTAGGGCTTGCCGATCGAAAGGTCGGCGGTTCGAATCCCTGCGGCGGGGTGCGCTCCTGTTGCTCGGTCCCAGCGCCTGCCAACCTAGCAGTTCGAAAGCACCCCCTGGTGCAAGTAGATAAATAGGGACCGCTTATTGGCGGGAAGGTAAACGGCGTTTCTGTGTGCTGCGCTGGCTCGCCAGATGCAGCTGTGTCACACTGGCCATGTGACCCGGAAGTGTCTTCGGACAGCGCTGGCCCCCGGCCTCTTGAGTGAGATGGGCGCACAACCCAGAGTCTGTCAAGACTGGCCCGTACGGGCAGGGGTACCTTTACATTTACATGCTCTGCTGGGGCTGATGGGAATTACACTCCAAAACACCTGGAAGGGCATTGGGTTGGCCAAGGCTGCTCTGTGTTCAGAAAAACCACAACTGTAAAAAGAATGCTTGTGTTTCTAATATCAGTGGGATTGGCAGAAGAGCCAAGTCTAGGGCAGTAGTACTTTTGCCTTTGTACACAGCTCTAGCATTTGCAGAAATGCCTCAAATAATTATTTTGATCCCTGAAACTAATTAACTGGCGTCTTCCTGCAGGAAAGCAATGGCATTTGCACCTCCCAGAAACCTGGATGGCCCGAAGATGCAAACCAAGATGAGCACATGGACACCCCTGAATCACCAGTTGATGAATGACAAGGTGAGTATCATTCAGTCAATTTAAGTATGGGCCTTCCCCCAGACATTACGTTGGAGACACAATCAGAGGGGACCTTTGGGTGAGCAGTAACAACAAATTCTCCATAAAAAGCAGCAAAGCCCTCAGTC